AGTTGGTAATATAACGATACTGAGAAGTTTCTACTCCTGCTCAACAAAAAGAAACATAGACGAAAATCAAAGGAAAACAGAAATGATAGAGCAAAAGATGAACCTAAAGAAAAGTGTAAGCCCAGGCAAAATGCAAATAGCACAGAACGTTCGGACCATAGTCTTAAAGATATTCAACTTTTTTTTTCAAATTAGTGTCGTTTTTTGTGTGATGTGATGGCAAGATCTGCACGAAGAAATTGAAATTAGAAATTTTCGACAATCAAAATTAAAAAGCCACTTGGAAAACAGTTTCTGTAGAAAAATGGCTAGAAAAATTAAAAAAAAAAAACGTAAAAAAAAGTCAGTAAATATTTTATTTTTTGCAAATATTTTTTAAATTTTCTGAAGTTTTTGATTCCAAAAATAGCGCTGAAAGTTTTTAAAACCTAATTTTATACCAGTAAAATTAATGTTTTACGGCCTAAATTAAAACTGAATAAGCTATTGTAAGCCTATAAATTGTCTTTCGACAAACCTTATTAGCTCGAAATTGGACTAAAAATCAAAAAATTCAAACCGGGTTCTCTCAACAATGAGAGATTTTTTCAATATTTTCGTTGTTTTTCGAATTACGACTGAAAATTTTTTACTGTGCTATAATTTTTGACTCATTCCTATGATTTTTCCCCCTATTTTATGTTACCTAATTTAGTGTGGAAAACTTAAGAAAATACACTATAACCACCCTATACACTATACAAAGTTCCTCCGTAGCTTTCAAATGGTCTGAAAAAAACTAAAAACAGTTTTGAAAACAAAACATTAGTTTAATTGGTCACGTGTAATTTTTGAAATTTAATTTTAACTAGTTTAGCTGCCTTTCTAAACTGTTTGTTTGTGTCCTACATTAACGAAATCTAACGAAAAGATAAATAAACAGGAGCACAAGAAATAGTACACTAGGAAAAAAACTCAAAACAATTTCATTGGAAAGCATATTATTTTTGATAAAATTTTCTACATCTCTGTCCTCGCAGCTTAGGTTTAGACAGCCGGAAACATCGATAGATTATTTCCAATTCAATAAAGTGTTGAAGTTATTAAAAATGCGAACGCAATTGCAACAGAAAAAACTATTAAGGTTTAAAAATGTACACCTACTTTTAAAGCAATGTTTTTTCTATCCACAATATCGCCAGTAGACAGGAATAGTATCAGTAGAGATCAACGTTAACTTCAAACGAACATTTTTTACCTCCTTAAGAAAAAAAATGTGAAGGAACAATTTTTGTTGAAACTTTTTATATAAAGTTGGTTTTCTCTCAATGCGTTTTGAAACTTGGTCAACCATGACAACAGCAACGTGATCAAATTTATAGAAGCTATTCAACACAGAAAGTTAAAATTGAGAGCCAGGTCTGTATTCAAAAATTAGAAAAACCATTTCAAAAGTTTACACAGATTCGAACACTAGCGTGAACACGACAAGAAGCTGCTCTATAAAGAGCAACAAGAGAAATAGAAACAAGCCTCGAATTAGTTTGAAATTTGGCTACGCCTCAATTTCGATCTGCGACCTAGAGACTATGAGCCTCATGCCTTATCCACTCAGCCACGAACGCTTAATAAATTACAAACACTAGCCACAAATGAAGCGAGAACAGCTGCTATGATATTTCCAATGCTACAGATCGTGTTATAGCACAAGTGCTACCAAATGAGTGAACACTTTTGATTAGAAATTTTTTGTGAGGTAACTTGAAAAAAAAAGGTTCCCACTAATACACTACGCTGCTCGCAAGTAAAATAATAATAATTTCGAAAAGAAAACCTTTCAAATTTTTTTATGCGTCACTGCATGAGTCTATGCACTGACATATATCAAAATTTTATCATCACTGGTTTGCCAAATTCAGAGATCTTGTTTCGAAGGTTATAAACGGAAATAAGGTTAGCCGGTTGCTCTGCACAGAATGATACAACCATATTCTTATAAAAAAAGAAAAATATACATTTTTATATGTTTTATTATGTTTTTTTACTTTTCTTCAAATGAAGCTCGTTTTCATTAAGTGGTGTTTTTCAAGAAGTATACGATTGCGTATAACATTAGATAAAAAAAACTTGGTCGACAAAATTTGTTTCAAAAAATGATTAAAAACAAAAAATTGAAAAGAAAAAACTAAAAATATATATAAAATTTGTTCTCCAACTTTTTGCACAAAGTTTTGAAACTTCAAAAGATTTTTTTGGTGCCTAAGAATTGCTAGATGAAACATCCAAAACTAGTGTTCTTTTTAGTAAGAACAAGTTTTTCGTCCAAAAAATTCAAAAAAAAAAACAGTTCATTACTATCTAACCAGTGTTTCTCGATTGCGTTACTCTAATTAGACTAAACCTCAAAAATTTCAAACCAATTTTTTCATCGGAAATTTTGTAACGTCGTTCTAGACACTGGGAAAACTGAAACGGCTTTAGTATGATATACCACTGGGCCCATTCCGATGATTATTTGTAGTACCTGTGACTTTGCGTGAATCGGAAAAAAAAATAATCATTTTCAATAATCGGAACAAAAATAATATTCGGCCAAAAATCATTTTCAAGTATTTTAAACGGTTTACATCATACACAAAAGGTTCAATTGCATAATCTTTTTTGAAAACTTTTTTTTACAAAAAAGTCTGTTAGTACCAAATTAGAAGACACTTGCTCTCACAGTCGTAAGAATACTCGAAAATATAGATAACTAGAGCCAATATTTTTTTTCAATTCACTATTTTGTAGGCCATCCAAAAAAAAATATCCACAAATTATTCAATTAAAAATGAAAGTATTCAGAATATGAAAGTAAAAGAAAATTTCAATTGAAAATTTTATTTTTCTTTCAGATTTATTTTAAAAATTTTTGATTTTTGTGACGAAGGAAGGGTGAGATGAAGATTGAAAACTGTTTTTTTTTATAGAACTTGAGTTTTTTTGAAATTTCAAGTTTTAAATGCCACTATTCTGCACAAACTCGCTGTCTTTAGTTGCTCGGAATGGGAAAATTGATATCTTTTACGCTCACATTAAATTTTCAACAGTGTTTTTTTTACTTATTTTTTCTCACTATAAATAACCCATGTCGAACGCGTAGCAAAAACTCAACTTCGCTATTTCATTTTGAAAAAATTATTCAAATGGTTTTGTTGTGCATCAATCAATTGCCTTAAGATGTTTTAACTGCCGTACCATAGATCAAGCCGGGTTGACAAAAAATGCTTATCATACAATTTTCATATATGAAAAAAATGCTCTTTCATACAATTTCATAGAGTAAAAGGTTATGTATGAAAATAGCAAAATAAGCATTTTTTTCATAAATGAAATTGTATGATAAGCATTTTTTCCATACTAAGAAATTGTATGATAAGCATTTTTTCCATAAATGAAAATTCAACAAAATTTTTTTTCAAAATTTTGTGTTTCAACCGAAACACTAACCAAGGATTTTTTTGTCAAGAGAAAACCCAGAGTGTAACTGGCAATTACCACGCAGATAAACTGCATTTGGTGGTTTTAGCCATAAAAGTTAATTTTAATATTTTCACATGGAAATATATAGCAAAAAAGTAACTTTTTGAATATGGCTAGATAATTTTTAGCTTGCAAGTTATGATGGTTGGGAGAAAAGGCCTGTTTTTTTACAAATTTATTTTTATCTTAGCAATTGAAACAAAAGATAGTAATCGTGTTTACAACATAAAACCTTTTCATGTAACTTTTGGGTTTTTTGAGTGAGAAACTCATCCTGGACTACGTTATAAACACAAAAGTGTCAAATTTTGCATGCAAATTTTTTTTCGTAAAAATTATATTTTAGCACAAACGCAAATTTGCTGCCAAAAAAGGGATTAAAAATTTCTACCTCAAATTTTTATTTTTGCTTATGAGAAAAATGCATATCATACAATTTTCATATATGAAAACTTTATGATAAGCATTTTTCCGACCGAAATTGAATTTATGTTTTTGATTGCCAGTATGCCTTCTATCATAGATATACTTATTTAAATCTATTTAAAGTTACCCAGACACGTTTTTTGATGATTTTTGAAAATTTTATTTTTCTATGACGAAATGACTCTTTTATAATTTTCATACATGATAATTGTATGATATGCATTTTTTCCATAGACTTCATATATGAAACTGTATGATAAGCATGTTTCTTCTATGGACGTCAACCCGGGAAAATAACATGCTGTGTTACTGGTTCAATTTTTCCATTGTATAAATTTAACAATGTATTGGTTTTGAACGGGGGCCTATTCTCATGTGCGATGGACCGAATGGGCAAAAAATTTGTGGGCGAAGGACCCAAAACAAAATTAGCCGAAAGTCAATTTTTAAAAAGAATCAATTGCCATTCAATTGAAATGAAATAAATTAAGCAATATTTTGCTTTTTCACAACGAAACTGTAAGACTGTAAGAATTGTTCCAATTCCGCGGCGATCAGTAACAATTTGAAAAATTTGCATATTTTTGCCGTTTTTATATTCGGCCAATATCAATATTAAGTCCCTGAAATCGTTTACTTTCTTTCAGTTTTTCACGTTACGTTTTCTTCCACATTTTAGATTACTGAAATCTGATTGGCTGATTTTTATTTTCGCGCATTCGGTCCTTCGCGTATGAGGGATTCCACCGAAAGACTCGTCCTGCTATTCGATTGAGCTTAGTCTTAAGATTTAACCAAATGAACTTCTGGGGTACTCTTTACAAGGTCTAATTGTCTATTTTCATCAAACCATACTGAGAAACCTTTCGAGCTTTTGTTCAAAATTCCTTCAAGAGTTGCTGTAAAAATTTGGCAAATCTATTTGTGTAAAATGAATGTATATTTAAAATGAAACGCATCAAACAACAGCCTTTCAGATGAGACCCTAACTGTCACATCTCTGTTTAAAAGAATGTGTTTGAGCATGAAAAATTTTAAATTCTGAAAAAATCTAAGCATAATCAGAAAAACAGTTTAATTAGTTTAAGAAAGTTTGTATCAGAATCATATCAATTAAGACCGTAAATTATTCACAGTACTTCTATTATTAGTCAGAGAAGGTAGTCGCATTATCGCCTGAATGGGAGTTTCTTTCATGTAATCCGGTACCAGCTTCATTTCACGAACTGAGATCGGGAATTTTCCCGAGTAAGACTCGGCTCCTCGATGTGCCGAACCAAAAGGACTGGGTCGGAATTTGGGGAAGTCAAATTTTGGTAGAACTGTTGGTTTCACAATCGGGTTCATAGGTCGTCGCAGGAGTTTCTGACTTGTTATTGTTGTTGGTAAATCGGAATTCCCAAATATGAATTGCTGAAAAAGTTAGATGACTTAGTAATGCGTTTTTTTTCTCAAATCTACAAACTCCACAACTAAATCAAAACTTCGTTAACTTGCTAAACTGTTTGCAGAGTTCATTCTTGTAAATTACATTTTAGTACTAACAAAACAAATGCAAGTCATTCTTCATCGAACTTGCATATAAGTTTTGTTATTTATCCAAGTAATTTTACCAACATCTTTAAGTATCAAATTCGCCTCACTTTCAGATCTTCTCCCGAATAGGGAATAGTCAGATCGGCACCCTCGTTTTGAGTATCTCCATCTGTCTTAAGCTCTCCCTGCCCATTAACTTTTGGCGGTAACTTTTCATCTGGTGCGCTCTGTTGGTTTTCGCCTGCTTTCACTTCGGCATCTAGTGAGTCTAGAAAAGTTTCCAAGTGTTCTTTTGGACCATTTTGGAGAGACGCGTTCACTTCTGCCATGTGTTTGGACACTGTCGAAGCCACTTTGCTTTTCAAGTAGTTACTTTTCATTCTAAAGAGAAGATGGATTTCTGTATTCTAAGGCAAAGGTAGGATTTCAACCCTATGACAAGTAATCCAAGGACAAAATTGCAATTGCAATATTATCCGTGTTTTTTTTTTCAACTAGAGAGATTTTTTATAATTGGTTCAAGAATTGCGAGGCGCCACATGCCTAACCTTTCATAATTCCAAACTCTAACCTCATATGCTTAGCCTCTAATCTTATATATAGTCGGTCACTTAAAAAGTTTTTCAATATCATAATCAATATCATAATCATTTCATACCTAAAAGTTGTAGACTGGATGCGACTTGCGAGTGATGACCTCCGACTCAGATTAGTCGGAGGTCTAGGTGAAGACCTCCCACTGTGCCCTGTACCCGGTCGGAAATGAATTGAACATTCCGACTGTCGATGCAAGTGCCAGTTTCCCTCCATTTCGGGGAAGGGTTCAAAGGTCAAGACCTGATGTGACCTGTTAGCCTCACATTGGTTGTGTCTTCCTCTAGTTTTGTACTTGTTCGTGGCCGCGTTATTTGAATACGTGTGACCAGGTCCAAAAAGAATGTTTGTGTCTTCGGTAGACTGAAATTCAAAGCGATGATTAAAAATGTCACTCAAAAGACAAACAAGCCTAGGGTAACTAAGTTCTTCGATTTGATCCCCTTAACAATTGCGTCATCCTGAGTGTCTTCATCATGCAGCTTTTGCGTTCAGGGAAGAAAAAAGATGAAATAAGTTGTATCAATGAAAACGATGGTGATCAAAGTAAATTTTAGGATTTTGTTGAAGCTTTGTAATGGATTTTTTAAGCGCTGCGCTCATGGGCTATGATTTATGCAGGTTTCAAATAGTTCAACTCACAGTTGACATATGTTACAACAGGGTGTGTTAATAGAGCTTTAAGACCCTTCTAGTAAAAAATTAAAAGTCTTGGTTCATAGATTAGGAGTATCTTTTATATTCGAAAACACTAAAACTATTCGATGTACTTTTGCAGCATGGCTTAAATATGAGCAAATTCTAATGTGGGATGGGGCTGATTGTATAGTATTTTTTCAGATAATCAGGCGTTGTCGCCAAACAACATAGTTTATACTATTTAGATCTGAGTACGGAAAAATAACGTTAGATTGTTATGCTTTGGATCAAAAGAACAGTCTTTTTTCGACAATATTGAATCATGAAAAATGTTTCATTCTTGTGAATTTACCGAGCTAGTTTTTGTCTGTTGTAACAGGCGTAACTTTTTGCTTCCTTTTTTTCAAAAACTGCTTTCAAAACTAAGGTTTGTTTTTACACTGAGGTTTGGTTGACACAATTGTTTTTACAAATTGAGGTTTATGTCCTTAATGTACTATCGTAGTGGTTTTCCATTAAATTATAAAAACAACTAGCTTTATTGATCATACAAAATTGATGAATTTGATGCTTGATATTTCAAAAAAAAGCATTCTCTGTGTAGCTAACAATTTTTGTGTACCTCCGACTAAAAAAATTCGAGTGAAACAACTTCTTTTTGTTCTTCTATTTCTCTTGGATCTTAGGAAAACATTGAATTGTACAATTAACTGCATGCATCTAGTAAATAATCATAAACAAAAAAGAGTAAGCGAATCAGATGAAAAGAAAGATTTGATTCAGTTGATCCCAATTTCCCAGATACTGAATTTGTCTAAGACAGAAAATAAATCAGACCAATTCTTTTCCACATTCAATCAGTTAACTATAATTATGAACAAATGAGTCAATTACAAATCAATGAGGTCAAATATGAGACCAGATTTCACTTCTGCATACTTTGCTTGAAGTAATTGAATTCGTGGAAAAAACAATGCTTTCCCATTATTCATACTGACAATTTCGTTAGGAATAACCATTTCGTGAGGTCGGAGGAAAAATATTTCTTGCTGATATTAATAGTAACCAGTTGCTGGCATACAAATTTTATAGAGTCTTGCTGCAAATCATCACTACAAAAAAAATGTCCAAAGAAACACAAGGATAGCCGGTTACTGTTCAAGTAGCACAGAAGGTTCCGATCATAGTCTTAAAAAACTGTACATCACTTTTTTCAAATTGTAGTTTTTTTCAGCGTTGCGCGATAAAAGCATCTGAACAAAAACTAGAGATAAGGCATGTTCTACTGTCATAGTAAACACAGAGGCGAAGCTGTGCTTCGCACCACTTGCGATACAAATATGAATGTTGTGAAAATCAAACGGAAAAAAATTCAAAAAATCGTTTTTGTCAATAAAAAGTGCAACAAATGCTTAAATAATCAGGAAAAAAATTGCCTGCACCATAAGAAAATCTACAAAGAGCTTTGTAAATGCTATGCAGAAACCAAGTTTTCAAAAAAGTCCTTTCTGCGGAACTAAGCAGACAAAAATAAGCAGACAGGCAGTACACTAAATTAGCCAGGATTTTCTATTTGTAAGAAAAACAAGACTCAACTGGAATCTAACTCCCGGGCTTTGTCGTCTCAAGCATGGGGGTTACAGCAACTCGGAATAAAGCTGAATAAACGAGCTACGGGAACTATGCCGACAAAACTAAACAGGCGGACAAAAATCCGAAAAATCACAAAAACTTTAGTTTGCAAAAAATATCCCGGACGAATTCGAACCGCGAATCTTTGCCATCTCAAGCAGTTGTTTTACCTTTACGACAGATGCTTGATTTGATTTGAATTTAAAATTACCAAGCAGTAACAGATCCAAAAAAAAACCCAAGCAGAAACACTGCATGCCGAAAAGAAATTCAGAAAAATTCTAAACTTATAGATAATGTCAAGTCCTTTTTCCCGTCAGAGCACAGGCACGCAAAACAAATTTTCGCAATTAACGACGCAACAAAAGGCCCCGAAGTCAATATCAATCAGGCCGAACTTTATTGAACCGATAAAAATACCAAAAAGTGAATTTTTGACAAATCGAGCTGGTTAAATTACAACCAATGTGAAAAGCAAATTTCGATTTGGCAGGATTTTTAAAATGCTAAAAGCAACTGCAGTTGAAATTGTTTACAGTACAAATAACCAATTCTTAGATTTGGCAACTAAGCCCACAAAACATAAGCAGACAAATAAAAGGCCGAAATTTTTTTGAACCGGAACAATTAGCATTTGAAAAAAAAACTGACCCTGGCCAGTTTCGAACCCAGGACCTTTGCCATTCCAGGCGTATTCGTTAACACCAGGCTAAGCGTGCAAGAGAGACTACAAATTTTGAATTCCTTGTGAACTAAGGTCCTACCAATGAGTCCTGTGGACAAAGTTGTTTACGGGAAAAAGGTATAGTACCCAACTTTGATTCCCTTGCTATAACAATTTTAAAAGAAAAATGTTAGGAAAAGTAAAAAAAGCAAAAAAAATTCAAGAATTGTTTTGATTTTTTTACACTTTTTGAATTTTTGAAGTTTTTTGATTCCAGAAAAACGCTAAAACACTCCAAAAAATCTAACTGCACTCGATTAAAACCAAGTGTTTACCAAGGCTATTGTAGGATATTGTGAGCGATTAAAACCAAGGCTATTGTAAGCTTTTCAGCCATTAAAATAACCTTTTGCACGCCTCATTGCACTGCGAAAACTAGCACTGGGAAAACTTTTTCAAAATTTGATAATATCGTTCGAATCACAACTGAAAGGAAAGGCCTTAAATATGTTATGTCACAATTCTCTGCGATGATATTTGTGATAGCTGGTTTTTCGTGGAAAAAAATTGAAACACATCCGAATACAACGTTCCTCCCCGTTTTTAAAAAGGTCGGAACAATAAAAAAACCTAACAAAACCCGTAATAAGGTTAAGTAATCTATCTGAACCTTTACTTCCACGCAAACAAAAAAAAACTTAATTAAACCGGCAAAAAGGTTAAGCATCTGCATGCACTTTTAGTTCCGAGCGAAAAAAGACTTGGAGAATCAAGCTGATTTGTACAGGTAAATTAAACCTTCAAATTTTGACACATATGACAAGCTGGACTTTGCAAACACAAGCGAGGAAACAAAAATGCAGTTCTAAAAAATGGAAAAAGAAAAAATGGAAAAAAGCTTTGAATTAGTAAGATTTTCATTATGCGACAAATTCTAACCTGCGATTTCGAGAGTTCTCGCATTTACGCGACGGGCCATTAAAAACTACCTAGCACTAGCCATCAATGATGCAGCTATAGATGCTAATAAATTGCAAAAATACCACTAAATATTAATAAAACTAATGCTAAGTTCGACGTTGGCCCTCCGACAAATGCTTGGGAAACTCACTTCCTTATTTCTGAGCCACGGACACTTGACTAACGGCATGCACTAGCCACCAATAAAGCTGAGAATAGATGCAATGAACGGGTTAGGTCGGAAAATAAAATTGGATCCCAACATCACATTACGTTGTGAATGTGTAAAAAAATACATCAATTTCAAGATTTTTGTTTTTCAAGAGTCTTTTATTGGCACTTCTTATATAAATCAATGTCAATTTGAAAAATATCTTTCAACATGTACTTTTTTGCGCTGAGCAAATTTATAATTGAAATCAGGTGCTAGACGTCATTTAAATGGCATCACATGCGAGCTTTTGGATAGCTTGTTTTGCTTTCCGTTGAATTTTGTGAATTGCAAATGCTGCGATTGCACTTCAAAAAGTAAAAGTCAACCCGAAAAAATATCAAACTTGAGCGTGAACACCTTTTTGGACTTTTTCTTGACCAAATCAACACGACTCAAATAAAAATCTTCGCTACGCCTGTTAACACGTTAAAACACAAGTTTACACTTTCACCTCTATTTTTCGGCATGAATTCTGCTTTGGCTCTGAACTCGAAACTCTAACTGTTCTCGGAAAAATCCAATCAAAAAGCAACTATGATAGACAGTTTCCCCATGCTTTTTGCGTGTAAAATTTTGAAAAGTCATTTGTGTATAAATTATTCATTTCAAAAATCTCGCGAAATATGTTCAGAAACTTCAGCAACCTATCAGATAAACATTGTAATGGCTATATTGTTTCTATCAAAAAAATGCTCTCTTCGAAACTTTTTTTGTTTTTTTTTGCTAATTAACAACAATAATTGTTTTAATTTATGTCATCAAAACCTAATTTTGGCATTGTTTGAATCCTCTACCTAAATGGTGAGAAAGGAATTCTAACAAAATAACGAAAAGATATTTTGTTTGAAAGTATACTGCGACAGTTCTGAATGGCGAACTTGTAATTATTAAACTATTTGAGAGCTCTCAGTGTTTTATTCTCAAAGCACCAGGATAGTTTCAAGAACCACTCTTCCACAATAGTACCTTCCGGGGGTTGGGGAGTGGAAAAGAGCTGGTTAGTTACGTTTGAGACAAATTTTAGTAAATAATGCTAAATTGCGTGGAACATCCTTTTCGATCAACGAGTTTTAGCGACGTTGATTAACCTGAAACTGCTTATTTAGGCGTCGGATTTTATAGTTTATTTGAGCAATTTAATCTGTCAAAAATTAGCATTTGAGGTTGATTAGTTTTTTTGAAATGCAGTCAGAAATTTCTCAGGTTTAAAATTGCAATTATTATATTCTTATTATCAAGAAATATACTCGCTTTCAACTTATTCTACGACTTAACCACCATAATTGGGTTAACTTATTTGTCATCAAAACCTAATTTTGCAGATTTCTCCCCTTAAAATGGTGAGGGTATGAAATTTTTCGAATTAACGAAACAAAATTTGTTTGGAAATATACTGCGACAACTTTCTGAATGGCAAACTCATTAAATTAAACGATTTGAGAGCTCTAGGTGACTTAATCTCAAGGGACCTTGTTGGTCAAGGGACCACTCTATCATAGTAGTACCGCATTTTCAAGAAATTAATGCTACATTCTCTCCAAAACCAAACCAACCTTGAACAAATCAGCGGTGCTCTCTATCTTTTTCTTTTCGTGAAACTTCTCCCTTACAGCACTACACAACGGTGACAGCTTTCTGAATTGTCTCAACACTGACTTCTGCTGCTTTTTCAATTCCAGTGTTCGTGGACTTCTCACTCGTTCTTCTGGCTTATCGCCCTCTGGCGTTTCCAAATGACGAATTAATATTCCTTTCTTCGGAAGTTTCAGGGTGACTTTTGGTTCCATCATAATATGTTTTCAATCGATTTAGAAAATGATTTCGAGCCTCAAGTCATATTATAAATTCAACAATGTTCAATCAAAAAGCGTTGAAGTCTCGTTGAGTTCTGTTTTATACTTAAGCTTCGTGTAGAACACTTTTAAAAATCAGCTGAGCAAGAATTGAAAAAGTGGTTTGGTACTGTTCTATTACTATTACTATATACAAATAAGGCTGGTCATCTGCATTATAAAGATTAATTTAACAAAATTTGCTGTTATAGCAAGTAAGTTTGAACCATTTGCAGTAAGTTTTAACTGGCTTTAGAGTCCCAGTTTAGTAAGGAACCAGTTCGCGTATTCAAATCCTAAGAAGCAGCACGCATTGGCGGGGAACGCTCTGACTAAAACAGGGGTAATACCCTTGTATAAGGCCATTGGTCCTTCCTTTTTTAGCAGCTCCTTCAAAACGCCTCTAACTCCGTTCGGATATGCACCAGCTGGGGCCGTCTGGAACCTCGTTTTCAAAACATCGGCAGGCATTGCTACCAGCCAGTTGAAAATTCCAGCGAACCCTCCGGCTATTAAGACTTGGACGCTAGAGAGATTTTTGTTTGGTTCACCTCCACGCATTAGTCTCTGAATAGAGTGATATGAAGCGAAGTACATTCCTGAGGCGGGAACATCTCGCAGTAGAGTGGCACATGAGCCTCTGTAGAGACCACGGATGCCGCCCTCTTTGAAAATTTGTTTCGCGCAGTCTACTGGTCCTGCGTATTGCTGAAACATTAAGGAAGATCAAACATTGTAATGAATAATTAAGGCGTTGTCTAAATGATTATTATTTAACAAAACAAAATTTACGCACACAAATTATCCTTAGCACGCCCCATTGAAAACATTTTTGGTACATTAAAGAGAAAACTTCACATTTCACCTTAATTTTTTTTCTTTACTAAGAGCACGACTAATTGTAGTGCGCCTCGAACCACCAATCTATGTATGTGATAGCTGTTGGATTAACTCAAGGATTGTAAAACCGAATAAGTAAAACGTTTTAAGTTAGACTGCTAACTTGTCTTATTTTAGATCTGAGATCATGCCTGTCTTTTCATGTCTCTCTATCAACAGCAATGTCCTAACTGACTATTGCGTTTGGCCTGCATGAACGGCCTTCAATACTAATAACAATACATAACAGAATAATTAATAGCACTATTCTCAGAGGTTACTGTGGCAGCAGTACTACACGGTACCACATTCCCCTGACGACAACAAAATTTTATATAATACTTTATAAAATTTTATAAATAATACGAGTTGTTCAAAGTTTACAGAAAATTGTTCTCCTTTTCCTTAGACTTTTGTTATTTTCTTTAATACTTCTTCTTTGTTTCTAGCGGCGTTCCATGATCCCGCCTCGTCCAGTGACGTAGCAGCAAACTTTCTCTTGAAGAGGTGTCTCTCTAGCCTGTCAAACGTGTTGGTTTCCGACGTTTCTTTGTTGTTTATGTTCAACTTCGCTAGTCGCAATCTGTAGGCCTCAAGTGCTGCCAGGTTCAACTCGGTGACATCATCCTCACAACCAATCAGTTTTATCGAGTGTGATACGGGACTGCCATACCTCTTCGGTCCCTGGTTTTTTGTTTGTCTATTGCTCCGTCTGACTGTCGTGGTGTCTTCCTCTTTATCGGATTCATCCGCAAATCCTGGTGTGGAATAATCTACCGGGTCCATTTGTCGTGACATTAGTTTTTCGGCTTCTTTTTGGACTCCGCGGGTCAACACTTGATTTGTTACATCTTCCCATTCTTGAGATGTCATGTTATTGTTTTGAAATGTGTCCAGAATTTCTTTTTCACTTGTCTGTTGTGTGATTTTCTTGGTAGTAGGAGCTTCCTTTGGTGCCGACGACGGTATGTATACTACCTCGTTACTCGTATCACGTTGTTTGGTAACTGTTTTAGCAGCTTTTGTCGTTCCTGATTCTTGTGTTTTGCCCCTTGTCGGTTTTGTGTTCTGGACTACCGGTCCTGCTCTGTTCGGTTTTCCTCGTTTACCTCCTAAGTTAAGGCCTCCGCCGGTTCTTGTGTCTCTTGATGTGACTACGCTCGGTGAGTTTTGGAATTTTTCTTTTAGCTGACTATCTTCTAGATTTTCATCTCTCAGCCCCCGGTCTTTCGCGTCGTGTTCTTCGGCAGAATCGCTGTCTTCCTCCACTGGAAGTGTTCCTGTTTTCTGTTGTTTACTTCTCGGTTCCTCTCCGGTTGGGCTCCTTTTCTTCTCTGGACTATAGTCTTTGGGCTGTGTTGACAGTTTAGATCTTGCAATGTCGCTTTTTCTATATACTGCACCCGCAGCCGTTTTGATGGTCAGAGCACAGGCACGCAAAACAAATTTTCGCAATTAACGACGCAACAAAAGGCCCCGAAGTCAATATCAATCAGGCCGAACTTTATTGAACCGATAAAAATACCAAAAAGTGAATTTTTGACAAATCGAGCTGGTTAAATTACAACCAATGTGAAAAGCAAATTTCGATTTGGCAGGATTTTTAAAATGCTAAAAGCAACTGCAGTTGAAATTGTTTACAGTACAAATAACCAATTCTTAGATTTGGCAACTAAGCCCACAAAACATAAGCAGACAAATAAAAGGCCGAAATTTTTTTGAACCGGAACAATTAGCATTTGAAAAAAAAACTGACCCTGGCCAGTTTCGAACCCAGGACCTTTGCCATTCCAGGCGTATTCGTTAACACCAGGCTAAGCGTGCAAGAGAGACTACAAATTTTGAATTCCTTGTGAACTAAGGTCCTACCAATGAGTCCTGTGGACAAAGTTGTTTACGGGAAAAAGGTATAGTACCCAACTTTGATTCCCTTGCTATAACAATTTTAAAAGAAAAATGTTAGGAAAAGTAAAAAAAGCAAAAAAAATTCAAGAATTGTTTTGATTTTTTTACACTTTTTGAATTTTTGAAGTTTTTTGATTCCAGAAAAACGCTAAAACACTCCAAAAAATCTAACTGCACTCGATTAAAACCAAGTGTTTACCAAGGCTATTGTAGGATATTGTGAGCGATTAAAACCAAGGCTATTGTAAGCTTTTCAGCCATTAAAATAACCTTTTGCACGCCTCATTGCACTGCGAAAACTAGCACTGGGAAAACTTTTTCAAAATTTGATAATATCGTTCGAATCACAACTGAAAGGAAAGGCCTTAAATATGTTATGTCACAATTCTCTGCGATGATATTTGTGATAGCTGGTTTTTCGTGGAAAAAAATTGAAACACATCCGAATACAACGTTCCTCCCCGTTTTTAAAAAGGTCGGAACAATAAAAAAACCTAACAAAACCCGTAATAAGGTTAAGTAATCTATCTGAACCTTTACTTCCACGCAAACAAAAAAAAACTTAATTAAACCGGCAAAAAGGTTAAGCATCTGCATGCACTTTTAGTTCCGAGCGAAAAAAGACTTGGAGGATCAAGCTGATTTGTACAGGTAAATTAAACCTTCAAATTTTGACACATATGACAAGCTGGACTTTGCAAACACAAGCGAGGAAACAAAAATGCAGTTCTAAAAAATGGAAAAAGAAAAAATGGAAAAAAGCTTTGAATTAGTAAGATTTTCATTATGCGACAAATTCTAACCTGCGATTTCGAGAGTTCTCGCATTTACGCGACGGGCCATTAAAAACTACCTAGCACTAGCCATCAATGATGCAGCTATAGATGCTAATAAATTGCAAAAATACCACTAAATATTAATAAAACTAATGCTAAGTTCGACGTTGGCCCTCCGACAAATGCTTGGGAAACTCACTTCCTTATTTCTGAGCCACGGACACTTGACTAACGGCATGCACTAGCCACCAATAAAGCTGAGAACAGATGCAATGAACGGGTTAGGTCGGAAAATAAAATTGGATCCCAACATCACATTACGTTGTGAATGTGTAAAAAAATACATCAATTTCAAGATTTTTGTTTTTCAAGAGTCTTTTATTGGCACTTCTTATATAAATCAATGTCAATTTGAAAAATATCTTTCAACATGTACTTTTTTGCGCTGAGCAAATTTATAATTGAAATCAGGTGCTAGACGTCATTTAAATGGCATCACATGCGAGCTTTTGGATAGCTTGTTTTGCTTTCCGTTGAATTTTGTGAATTGCAAATGCTGCGATTGCACTTCAAAAAGTAAAAGTCAACCCGAAAAAATATCAAACTTGAGCGTGAACACCTTTTTGGACTTTTTCTTGACCAAATCAACACGACTCAAATAAAAATCTTCGCTACGCCTGTTAACACGTTAAAACACAAGTTTACACTTTCACCTCTATTTTTCGGCATGAATTCTGCTTTGGCTCTGAACTCGAAACTCTAACTGTTCTCGGAAAAATCCAATCAAAAAGCAACTATGATAGACAGTTTCCCCATGCTTTTTGCGTGTAAAATTTTGAAAAGTCATTTGTGTATAAATTATTCATTTCAAAAATCTCGCGAAATATGTTCAGAAACTTCAGCAACCTATCAGATAAACATTGTAATGGCTATATTGTTTCTATCAAAAAAATGCTCTCTTCGAAACTTTTTTTGTTTTTTTTTGCTAATTAACAACAATAATTGTTTTAATTTATGTCATCAAAACCTAATTTTGGCATTGTTTGAATCCTCTACCTAAATGGTGAGAAAGGAATTCTAACAAAATAACGAAAAGATATTTTGTTTGAAAGTATACTGCGACAGTTCTGAATGGCGAACTTGTAATTATTAAACTATTTGAGAGCTCTCAGTGTTTTATTCTCAAAGCACCAGGATAGTTTCAAGAACCACTCTTCCACAATAGTACCTTCCGGGGGTTGGGGAGTGGAAAAGAGCTGGTTAGTTACGTTTGAGACAAATTTTAGTAAATAATGCTAAATTGCGTGGAACATCCTTTTCGATCAACGAGTTTTAGCGACGTTGATTAACCTGAAACTGCTTATTTAGGCGTCGGATTTTATAGTTTATTTGAGCAATTTAATCTGTCAAAAATTAGCATTTGAGGTTGATTAGTTTTTTTGAAATGCAGTCAGAAATTTCTCAGGTTTAAAATTGCAATTATTATATTCTTATTATCAAGAAATATACTCGCTTTCAACTTATTCTACGACTTAACCACCATAATTGGGTTAACTTATTTGTCATCAAAACCTAATTTTGCAGATTTCTCCCCTTAAAATGGTGAGGGTATGAAATTTTTCGAATTAACGAAACAAAATTTGTTTGGAAATATACTGCGACAACTTTCTGAATGGCAAACTCATTAAATTAAACGATTTGAGAGCTCTAGGTGACTTAATCTCAAGGGACCTTGTTGGTCAAGGGACCACTCTATCATAGTAGTACCGCATTTTCAAGAAATTAATGCTACATTCTCTCCAAAACCAAACCAACCTTGAACAAATCAGCGGTGCTCTCTATCTTTTTCTTTTCGTGAAACTTCTCCCTTACAGCACTACACAACGGTGACAGCTTTCTGAATTGTCTCAACACTGACTTCTGCTGCTTTTTCAATTCCAGTGTTCGTGGACTTCTCACTCGTTCTTCTGGCTTATCGCCCTCTGGCGTTTCCAAATGACGAATTAATATTCCTTTCTTCGGAAGTTTCAGGGTGACTTTTGGTTCCATCATAATATGTTTTCAATCGATTTAGAAAATGATTTCGAGCCTCAAGTCATATTATAAATTCAACAATGTTCAATCAAAAAGCGTTGAAGTCTCGTTGAGTTCTGTTTTTATACTTAAGCTTCGTGTAGAACATTTTTAAAAATCAGCTGAGCAAGAATTGAAAAAGTGGTTTGGTACTGTTCTATTACTATTACTATATACAAATAAGGCTGGTCATCTGCATTATAAAGATTAATTTAACAAAATTTGCTGCTGTTATAGCAAGTAAGTTTGAGCCATTTGTAATAAGTTTGAACTGGCTTTAGAGTCCCAGTTTAGTAAGGAACCAGTTCGCGTATTCAAATCCTAAGAAGCAGCACGCATTGGCGGGGAACGCTCTGACTAAAACAGGGGTAATGCCCTTGTACAAGGCCATTGGTCCTTCCTTTTTTAGCAGCTCCTTCAAAACGCCTCTAACTCCGTTCGGATATGCACCAGCTGGGGCCGTCTGGAACCTCGTTTTCAAAACATCGGCAGGCATTGCTACCAGCCAGTTGAAAATTCCAGCGAACCCTCCGGCTATTAAGACTTGGACGCTAGAGAGACTTTTGTTTGGTTCGCCTCCACGCATTAGTCTCTGAATAGAGTGATATGAAGCGAAGTACATTCCTGAGGCGGGAACATCTCGCAGTAGAGTGGCACATGAGCCTCTGTAGAGACCACGGATGCCACCCTCTTTGAAAATTTGTTTCGCGCAGTCTACTGGTCCTGCGTATTGCTGAAACATTAAGGAAGATCAAACATTGTAATGATTAATTAAGGCGTTGTCTAAATGCTTATTATTTAACAAAACAAAATTTACGCACAAAAATTATCCTTAGCACGCCCCATTGAAAACATTTTTGGTACATTAATGAGAGAAAACTTCACATTTCACCTTAATTTTTTTTCGTTACTAAGAGCACGACTCATTGTAGTGCGCCTCGAACCACCAATCTATGTATAAGAAGGCTGAGATACAAAATATTTCACACCTCTTTTTCGTCATCGCGGTCTCAATAAAAATTATTTACGCCACCATTAGAAATCTGTGTTAACTGCGCCCACATTATAGACCTACCTTTACTGCTGATGCTCCTTGAATCTGCAGCAGACATTTTATCCTCTCTCCGGGTGCCATAATTGCAGTAGTGTAGAATCCAGCTAATGAGCCGGCTAAGAACAATCCAACTGGACTTGTAGTTCCTGGTTTCTCATAACCCTGGATCTTCATTCCGTGACTGAACCCTAGGAAGCATAGGGCATACATGGGTGCAACTCCCATTACAGGAGCTAACATGCCTTTGAAGTATCCTTTTGGGCCCTCTTTGGTGTATATCTGTTTGATACAGTCTAACATGCCAGAGTACTGGGAACTAGTTTGCAGTCTCACTTTGATTGTGTCGAAGGGGTGACCTGATACTACTAGACAAACTCCGCCGAACCCACCGGCCAAGAAGTCTTTCAGAGGACTAACACTAGTAGATGAAGACATGTTCTAATCTACAAGACAGTGACTATAGTTAGAGATAACTCGACTAAAAATCTATCAAAGAAATTTCATGAATTCTGTTTAAAACACTATGGAAAATCTACGAACAGATATTCATGAAAATCTAGGAAAGTTACTTAAATCTAGGAACTGAAATTTGTGGAAACCTAGGAATGTAAAAATAATGGAAACTTGGGAACGGAATTTGAGAACGGAAAATTAGCAACAGAAATTCAACAAAATCCAAAGAAACTGATAGTTTCAACAGAGATGATAAAATATAGATTAAATCGAAATTGAGATCAATGAAAATTTTCACGAAACCAAAACTTCGAATTGGTCAAATGCGGTAGCTGTAAATAGATTGGATTATACTGGAGCTTGAAAATTAACCAGACAACAAAAAATCAATAACGAAAGCATTGAAGCGAAATGATGAAATCCTTCCTTAGAAAAAACAGAATTTGTATAATGAAAAAACAGCGATGTTTGCCATGGGTGGTAAAAATGATTGAAAGACTACCTCAGAAAAAAAAACATCAAAAACAATTATTCTTCTAACGCCTATCATATTGCCTCATTAAAATCATGCCACAGGGTGCTTTCAAAAATTGTTTTTTATAAATCATCTCTCATTTTACAAATATTTGGGTTATTGAATTGATTCCTTTTTTAGTATTCAGAAAAAATTGCCGGATTCTGTTGATTTAATTCATTTGAGTTGGATTGTTTTTGTTCACGCATGATTTCGCAATTTAATGAAATTTGAATGCAACTTGCGCGAAACAAGCTACTATAATGATGTATTAACACAAGGGTAGCCGTTTATTGTCGAAGAAGCACAGAATGTTCCGACAATAGTCTTTAAAAACCTACAATAAAAAACTTTTTTTAGTGTAGTTTTCTCTGCGTGGTGTGATAAAATTATCTGAGGGAAACTATAATTTAGTCATAATCGACAGTCATAGTAATAAAGACAAACAGGACAACAGATGATGAAGAAAAATTACTAAAAAACAACCAAAAAATCATTTAAAAAATCAAAAAGAAATTTTGATTCCCAAAATGGCATTAAAAATCTCCAAAAACTAGTTTATTCCGGTAAAATTAAAATTAAGCATAAATAAGCTATTGTAAACAGTCTAAATTAAGCATAAATAAGCGGGCTTGCTCGCTTTACTAGCTCGAATTTTGACGAAAAATCATAAATTTCAAACCGGTTTTTCTCAAAATTTTTGATGTCGTCCGATGATTTTGTATGGTAACTGATTTTGCGTGGAAAAGAAAAAACTTAAACTCATACGAATACAAAGTTCCTCCCCATTTTCAATGGTCGGAACAACAACCGGATAGAATGAACTAAAACAGATTTTTTAAACTAGTTTTTCTCAAATTTGGTTATATAAATTGCTGATAATTTTACCAGCTTTTTAATGTTGCAATTTTTTGCAAAATTTTGAACCGAAATTACACCCTTAAAACGGATCAATTCTTTAGGTTTAAAATTAAGGAGGTAAACAGGGTCAATTGATGTAAGAATAACTAAAGTGACACTGTGTACCTCCCTAATTTTGACAAACTGTATTTGAAAAGGTATAAATCAATCTTTAATTTCCAAAATAGATATATATTCAAACGTGGCGATCGTGAATTGTGATATTTGTAATCTATAATAGACAAAGTGGGCTCATTATGAAAGATATCTGGACAATTCATTTAGAGAACTTAGGAGTACACAAGTTTAGTTTTTGAATCATTAATCACATCACTGGACATCCAGGGTTTTCTCCTGTCCCAGATTGGAACAAAGATGACAGACCAGGTAAATTAGCCCCACCTTCTGGTTGTATGGTTTCCATCAGGGCTTCAGGCGGGTTCCCCAGTTCTCTCATTTCATGCATGAGTGATACGATTCGTTCCGTTGACTTTGGATCAGGTTCGCTATTCGCCTCCTGAGATGGTCCATCATCGACACTCGTTTCGTTTCTTGTTGGTTGCGTTTCATACTCTTTACAAATTTTAGATATGATTGAGATCTGTTTATCGAATCGGACGGCGTCTTCTTCTGAGAGCGAGTGTCTGTTTTCGGCCATCCAGGGCGGATACTTCTCGTTTAGCTCACGTATCGAGGGGTAGAGAATGTCTTTGTCAAGGAGTGAGGAAATGAGGTCTTGCAGGACGTCGTCAAAGTTTGATTCTCCGTCGTCTAGTCCTAAAACATTGCCAACAGATGGTTAAATTTTTGAACATTTCGAACTTCCGATATTTGAAGAAAAAATATATATCACGTTGAAGCTCTTTGAATTTTAAGGATTGATTCTGATTAGGTTTTTTACTGAAATGTATCCCATTTAGAGAAAGCTGGATCAATAGATAATTTTTTATTCCGCTGGGCAGGCTGCTCAAATCGGTCAGAGAAAAAAGTGACCTACCATTTTTGGACTGTTTTTTCAAAGTTTTGCCTGCGGTGCAGAAAATTTGGCCAAAACAGGGACCAAACCGTGCTTAGGGAGAGCTCGAAAAATCAATTCGGTCGACCTAAAAAAAAGTCGACAAATTTTCAATTTTTAAGCGCCCAGGTGAACTTTTGTTGAAGTTTCTGATTGAACTTGCAACGTACCATGATCTTATCTGGAAAAACTTTCGACAATTGTTAGGATTCCCTTGATATACACAACAGTTTCAACAAAAAGTGACCTAGAAAAAATAAGTGACCAAAAAGTGACCAGGTCGCTTAAAGTGACCAGTTTGAGCAGCCTGCCGCTGGGTATTCAGGAAATCGAAGTCGATTTTTGAAAAAAGAAGTCATCCACGTTTTTCGCGACCTTTACACTTTTGCTGCTCAATAGTGGAGCTTGCAATCCTTTAAACTAAAAAAAACTAAGCTTGAAAAAAAAACACAAGTGAAAATGCTAAGAACCTAACTTGTAAGTGAACAGACTTTTTCCTGAAAAAAAATCAGCACGACCTACATAAAAAACCACGGTAACTCACTATTAACCACTCTAATTAATTTTCGTTGGTTACAATGACAATATTTATGTACATACCTGGCAATAAGTCTCCAAACACTTTTTCAAACTCGTCCGGGCCGACTCCCGAGGCGTGATGCGGATGGTCTTTCCCGGATGTCGAAGTTGACTCATGTAAAGTTTTCTCCATTTCTTTTGTTAGTTGCTCCATTTTGCGACACAGCTGATCTTCATAACTAGCTTGATCATCTAAATCGTTTTCACTAAATAATGACTCCTGGAACCAAACAATGAATCAACCATATCAACAGCCTTTGTATCAAAGTTCGCCTTAAGCAAAACAGAACAAATGACAACGCGGTGTAACTTAAAATTTTATTTATCCAATTCATAGCAAGTAAAAGTAATACACCTCCATATTAATGTTATTTATAGACAAATTGCAATAGGATAGCTTCAAATGTTCCTCAATTTCAGAAATAAAACGTAAATAACCATAAGGTTGTTTCATTAGTGAATGTGATGTGATGACTATATTATTCGTCGCATACTAGTTGTACCTTGACTTTTTCAAAAAAAAAACTCAGGAACAAACTTCTGATTACACTTAAAAATTTGTAAGTATCGGTTTCACATCGCGGTGATAACAGATAAGAACAAGGTAATTTGTTCCAATGTAAAAAGAGTAAGTTTTTGAGCACAAACTTCAAGTGAAGCTTTAGAAATATACCTGAGCGGATCCCTGGTCTGTCATTGCCTTTTCAAACTCAGACGCTAAAAGGTCTCCCAACTCAGCCGCTTCACTTGACAGAAGCTTCTTGAACTCTGCTTCGAAGTCCGAGCCACCCAGATTGCCATGTAACAAACTCTCTATACCTTGAGCTTGCTGCTGCTGCTTTTTAGTCGACTGCTTTTTTGTTTTGACCTTTGTCCCAGAAGAGATGGATGATGATTGGCTGCTGGCTTGCGAGTTAGCACTAGAATTAGATTTAGGAATGGTACTGCTTTCGGGTGCAGAAGTATTCCCGAACCCTTTAATTGCATCGTCTAGGAGCGCATCTAGTTCTGGATCTAGATCGTCGGAATAGGACGGGGTTTGGTGTTGAGATTTAGTGTCTCCACCTCCTGTTTCAATTTTTATTTCGGAATTTTCCACCTCTGCAGCAGAATCTTTTTCATCACTTTCACAAACATCCGTCATATTTCACTGAAAAAAAAAACATCAGCAAATAACTGAGATGATTTAAAAATAGCCCACACCTTGAAAATAAATAGAGTTTAACATCTAGATTTAATAGAACAAAGTATCAGGCAAAGCTGCGTTAGCGTACGCAAAGTTAAACATAGAGGCAAAGTTGCACTTCGCATGCACAAGCAAAAATATGACCGATAACGCACGCCAAGTATGACGCATAAGCAGTACCAGTCAATTTGAAAAAAAAAGGAAATTTATCAACTAACATGCTTCAATTTATAGAGCAGTAATATCATGAAAAAATTAAGTAATATAAATAAAATGAAATTCTTTTTTAATTTGAGATTTTTGTGTAAATCATTCACCAACACGCCAAGTTAAGTACAAAGTGATAAATTTCGCTCCTAGTAACAAATCAATTATGGCAAACGAGCGTCCTTCAACCAATTTGGAACAATTTCTATGACGGATTAAAACTCCGCTTACGCCTTAATAGCGCGAAATATATCGCGCGTTATTAGTCCCAATTTGGCCAAAATGGCAGTCTTTAAACCCCCATAACTTCACGACTTTCAGCTCAGGACAACAATATTTTTTGAAAGCTTTATAAAATTCCGTCAAAAAAGGCTAGGTGAAAAGTCGAAATTTGTCTGAAGAAAAACCCATCCCGAGCACAAATATTCCGTTACTTTCGGTAGCAGGGTGACTCAAGTTTTGTTCATATTATTTGAGAAAAATGGAAAAAAAATGTTTAAAAAACCACCGTGGTCTACATAAAATTATCCAACAAATCATAAAATTATCCAACAAATTACAAATCGAATAAGATTTTTTTCAGTTTTCTAAGCGCTGGGAAAGATTTCAATGAGATAAGGAATTGCAACAATGTGTTGATTATAGCTAAGCGAAAGTTACAAATATAGTAGCTATAAAAAGATAAGACAGCTTATTCTCGACATTAGAATTTGGGATCCGAACCAATAGGGCTTGAATATCACACTTGACTTCTCATCCCTTCACCTTCAAGCTCTCGTATAGATACCTAAAATCGGGCAGAAAGTTCCTACCCTGTACTGCAGTTAATTCCCACCGCCTTTTAAGAGGAGGGGGTAAGACGACGATGATCGGAACAAAAAAAAGTTTTCCTCTGAATTTCAAAGAAAACACATCTCCTTGAAGTTCATTGAATTTCAGGAATCTTTTATGATTGACGATTGCTTAAAAAAATTAACCCAATTTGAGTAAGTTCGGATCAATTGGTACCTGTTTTTACTCCGTTGCGAATTCTAACACAGAGTCAAAACTTCACTTCGCAAGCAAAAAATGGCAAAAAGGAGCTTTCAAATAGCAAGAAAATGCAAAAAAAACACTGAAATATAGAAAAACATAAAGTTACCTCTTACGGGAATCGAAACTACGCCTTCGACTACCGTAAACTTTCGAGTCCATTGCCTTAGCTTGATTGAAAATTGAAATCAACTTATGAACCTGGAATCCAACTGGAAGCCGAGCGCGTTTCTTTTTGCGTCAACTTCATTTATCATGGGAGCGTCAACTGCCTTCGATTTAATTGCATTGGTTAAAAATATGGTTAAAATAATGATAAATGACTTCGTGAATTTACCTAAAAACAGCAAAAACGAATCGAACTAACATGGGAACAAAATTTTGCAAGCACGTAAAAAACCTAATGTTAATCATATGATCAACAAGGGTTTTAGAGACTAGACCCATACACATCAGGTAAAACCATGAAATGCCCCAAACATGAGAAACTACAAGTGAAAGATCTGAAACCCTGCAAAAGCCTAAGCAAGGACATAATTATTCAACTAGGGTCTCTCATTTATGTTGATCTATGAGCCAACCGTATTTGACTATACCTTTGATGCCTACGAAGCATTAGAAACTAAAAGGTTGGAAAGCTCTTTTATCATTCAACCTCTTGAAGAGCCATGGAGCGAAAATGTGATATTTTACACGACCTAATCTGTCGTTGATTTTCAGCAAGTGGATTTGCGCGATAAAAACATGATCATTAGGTTCATCCACTTCTTAAACTGAGTCCCCAGAGGTCAAGTTGCCTTGATGAATCGGAAAATGACTAAAAAGCTGATTCAGATGGAAAAAAAAACAGTTATGCAAAAAAAAATTTGACTGAGCGAATCGGATGCACATCAAGTTGATTAAGAAGAATGTAGTACCCCACTCGCACAGGGAAGTTTCGAAATATATTTCCAGGTTAAAACTAAAATGGCAATGCAATTCTTTCAACTATCTTCAATATAAAACTTTTCGTAAAGTGTGGTAACTTCGCCGTTTTTTCCAACATATTGCGACCTCTGCCACCCAAATGCAGAATTTGTACAATTGACTATCGAATTTAAAAAAAAAACTTTTTCGTTTTGTTATTCATAAAAAATTAATACTCGGAGCGATGTCAAAAAAATTATTCCACAGACTAATAACACGAACATTCAAATATTGTTTAAAAACAAAAATTTCAGTCTGTTCAATTGCTAAAATGACATCTAAGTGCCATTTTAACGTCAAAATGTACTTTGAGAAGCGAAGTATTTGGATTTATGCACAGTCCAAATTACAATTCAAATGGCTTCAATACGATGAATACATTATCTTACACCACTTGTTTTAAAGGCATCTGATTTGTGAAGGTAAAAATTCAAACCCAATGAAAAGATACTTCCCACTCCCCGATCTGATCAGTAAATATTTTTATTCAAACACATAGATAATGAATTAATGTGCCTGAAAGCAGGGGAAAATGGTGCCTCAATTTAATGTTCTGACTCTATTACTAATTTGACTGGCCGAGATATAATTGAATTAGCCGAGCGAGAATTCCCCTTCACGCCAATTCAGTTTGAAACATCCGTCATTATTGTTGTGAAATGGGGATTTAAATAAACCAGTCACACATCTTGAGATCAATGAAGGTCTGCTTCAGACTAATTGATAGCAAAACAAGTTTTTATAGAACACTAAATTCAACGATATCTGATATCTACGTAATTAAAACTAAAACACTAAGATCCTGAGTACCTTACAGTATGCTATACTAAACACTAATGGGCTTAAACACTACAAGTGTCGTCAAGTGTGACCCTTTTCTCCAAATTTGGTAAGTATCTTTTGCACTACTTGCATTGCGTATCTGATGATTTAATCCCATTGCTTTTCTGCTGATCTGATTTGCTTTACTACTTGAGGCTAGAAGCTAAAATCCTGTCTTTTGATTCGCTGATCACATCCTCAATTGCCACAGACCATTCGCTGTCCACTTCGTCATACTGAAACGGAATATAAACCCTACAACAATGTACTTTATAGAAATTCGCATACTTTATAATCCCTGAAAGCGTGCAAAAACTGCGCAATAAAATTTGCGAGGTACATTGGAAGAAAGTGAACTGGTTACATTACAAATGGTGCTCCAGTTTTTCTCAAATAACCAAGATATTATACAGCACAGATAGACAGACTTTTTGTAATTTCTTACTTGTATGGCAGTGATACTGTCGTAGATTCGTTTGGCCAAGGATGTTTTCTCGTCGAACGGAATCTCGATGTCAATTTCCGGCTGGTCCAGTGATCTCTGATACAGAATAGATTTCACTGGACAAACACAACATGCGGTTCCTGCGCCAAAGACTTCATGCAGCTAAAACACACATTTAGCTCAAGAACATAGCCAACGGAAAGTTAGAAAAGAATCAATGAATTCAAGGAATTCAATATTTTTCTGCACATTTTTCACCTTTTCGAGGGAAAAAATGCATCAAGCTGAAGTTTTTCAAAATCCAAAAATCTTCTACGATTAACATGCGAGAGTGAATGTAATGGGGAACTTGACTTTCTCCCCGAAAACAACTGATAAATCTGTAACAAAATGATTTTCCTTTATTATGGAACATCGACATTGTACAGCCCAATTACCACTCAGCCTAGAGGTAAAGCTCGTATCTTTGGATCTTAAGGTCTGGAGTTCGAATCCCACCGGACCTTTTTTTTGATATGTATAAATGATTTTTTTTCTGGTAAAAATTGAAAAGCCTGAATATTGTTTGTCAGCTTATTTTTGTCGACTTTTTGTTCCGACCATTTCAAAAATGTGGAGGAACTTACTTTGTAATCGGGTGTGTTTTAGTTTTTTCTCTTTTTTTTCTTTTTGTTTCCAACGCAAAAGCAGGTACCAAAAAACGTCAACGAAATGGGACGAGTTATATATCATATTACAGCTCTTTCAGTCGTTTTTTGGAACATCAAAAAATTTTGAAAAACTTTTCTCAACTGCAGAGAAAAAACCGGTTTGATTTTTTTTATTTTTGGTCTAACTGTGAGCTAATTAGGTGAGCATGCAGGCTTACAAAAGCTTTTTTTTAGCTTAATTCAAGCCGTGAAAATTAGTTTTACCCGTGTAAAGCTAGTTGTTTAACACCATTTTCGACAGCAAAAACTTCAGTTTTTCAGCGCCATTTTCGAGTTTTTAGCGCCATTTTCGAAAGCAAAAGCTTCAAAACAAAATATTCATTGAAAAAAAAAACATTTTTCTTTTCGGTTTTTTTATTTTTCAACAAAAACTGTTTCACAATTAGTCTATTTGACTTAGACTGTCTAATATGCCTAATTTCGGTTTTTCCGTTCAGATCATTTTATCACACTGCACAGAAAAAAAACGTCACTAATTTGAAAAAAAAGGTATTTTCTCAAGACTAGGATCGGAGCATTCTGTGCTGTTTTGTTTGCACACTACCCAGTCATCCTTGTTTTTGAAAAGAATAGTTTTTACGATAATTGAAATTCATTCTGAATTCTGAAATTTGAATATTTACCAAGTCTGATTTCAAAATTTTTTTTCAACTTAATGGTGTCGGCTAGCCTTATAACTCCTTAGTAATCTTATAATTAGTAGTTTGAAAAACAGAATAGATTTATTGAATGCTTCAGGAGTGATGGGGGTGTAAGAGTTTTTCTGACAACAATAAATTTTTTGGCAATTATATTTTCGGCCCAACAGGCGTCTACTCAAGTAATTTCGGTTATCTGGCTGCTCGGTAAAAAAACTGAGGCCTCATTTATCACTGATGATTGCATTTCTCGGATGTTTTCCAGAAACTGAAGGTCAATCGAGACAAACAGATAAAATTTTTAAAGGTCTGTTTTTTCAACACCAATTTTAAAACATTTTTTCTTTCTGTGGCTTTCCACACAATCTCTATTCTCTAGCTTACAATGCTATGATTGTGTTGTATTATTGCTGTGGAGAAGCTTTGCTCCGCCTCTGTATTTGATGAAACAAACCCTATTAGAGAAAGCTGATTCGATAACTTTTTTATTCCGCCGGAAAGTTTAAAAGTTGAAATTCATATTCGAAGCTTGTGAATTGAACTCGAAAGAAATCAAAAATCACACCACAAAAAAACTTTAGATTAAGCGTGAACAAACTTCATGAATGTGTTGAAAAAACCAAACGATCTAAAAAGTGGCTTCACTTCATTCAAAGTCATTTAAAAAACCATGGCAATTATGCAATTCTAGAAAATTTTAAGTAAGCTTTTGAAACAAAAAAACTGAAACGAAAAAACTGTTTCTAACTGAAACAAGGGTAAGCGGTTGCTGTGCAATAAGCACAGAATGTTGCGACCACATTCATAAAAAGAACAATTTTTTTCTATTTTTCCAGCTCGCTTTTGCACGCAAACTTTAGTGATTTAGCCATAATTGGCAGAGGTTCTATTCGAAGAATGAATAATCAATTAAAATTATTGATTTTCAAAAAAAATTATGCAAACAAAGCGCTAAATGAAGCTTCCAACACTTGTTTTGCTGGAGTGTTTCAAAAAAATTTCCAAGTTAAAGAAAAAAACGTCTTTTACGTCGTTAGACCTGCTCGCTCGCTTAACTAGCTCGAAATAAGACAAAAACTGAAAACTTTCAAACCGGTTTTTCTCGTCACTGGTAAAACTTATTGAAATGTTTTAATGTCGATCCAATCACGACTGAAAGGGCATTAATATCATATATCAATCGACCCATTCCAATGATTATTTGTGGTATCTGATTTTGCGTGGGAAACCAAAACAAGAAAAACCTTAACACACCCGAAGACAAAGTTGCTCCCCATTTTCAGTACTCGGAAAAAAACCTATTCCTTGAATATTTGTTTCGAAAAAACGCATGCACAATCAGAAACTGAATTGACTCACCCTTCCGTCAAGCGCTGCTTGATATACTTCTGGCATTGAAATTTTCTTTTCCTCAACTTGAAATTCATCCTTAAACGGAAACACGTGATATAATATATTGGGTAACTTGAAAGTAACAGAAGATCGAGATCGTTCAAAAATAGTTTTAGTCAATGTCATTTCAGACATATGCAGCTGGGCAATATTGTTCGCTGAGCTGACTGGTCAAGAAAAAGTGACTAACCCAGCTGTCGGTTAGTTCCAAAATACTGTCTCGTGTCACCCCTGGCAATATGAGGTCACTCAGAGGAGGTGTCACCAGCTCCTTCTCTGAACATCAAAAAAATCTTACAAAAAATCACAATAATAATTTAACAAGAGCAAGTTTACAAAAATAAATGTCTTCCATGGTCAAAATATCCTTTTGATAATGCGCTTTTTAGCGGTACAAGTGGATCTCGTTTTCCTAGTCGGTCTCATACAACAGCGGTTTTATTTTTTCCTCATAACTTTTTTCGTCGACTTTTTCTCAATATCAATGAGTTCTTAATAAAGATTGCGTACCTCCGTCTTTGTTGGTCCAATATACGAATATATTCATTGCACCCACTTCTGTCAGCTAAACACAACAGCAGATTAATTTTTACAAGTGTAAATAACGTGGATTAAATTTTGGTGCAGCTAGTCGAAAGCTCAGTCTTTTGCTGATTGTTTCGACTACTGAACATCATTTCGACCACTGAAAAAACTAAGGCCTCAGGTGAGGTTCTTCGCCTAAAAATGATGTACCACAAATAAACTTCCGATAGGATTGAGCGATATTTTCAGCTTCTATCAAGGTGCCCTGGGGAAATTCGCTTTTGAAATGAAGAGAGAATTAAACATATTATGATTTTCAAAAAGACTATAAAATGTTTTTCAATGTTATTTTAGCTAACATCATCAACAAGTTCCTGAAGCTTAAAATAATTCTGGAAAAAAATTGGCTATGCTTATGTAAGAGGGCCCGAATGATGGAAAACTTCTTTTCAATCAGAATCGTCTTTAACTAACAAGTTCCTATTCGCTGAACGGATCATGCAGAGAACCAAAAATTAAATAAACAGAAAGCAGTATCCCAGGATCGGCAAACTGGTAATACGTACCAAACTATTTGCATTATTTGCATTATGATGCCCTGAATTTATTTGCTTTCTTGAGATTTTCGTTATATCTTTCAAATTTTCAATTATCAATCGACTCGCTAACTTTAATTTTCCATCATTCGGTCCCTCTATCATGATCAGGGGCGGATTTGGGGGGGGGGGGGCGGGGGGGTGGGGGTTGGGTTATGTGGCGGACGCTCCCCCCCCCCCCCCCCCCCCCTCAGGGATTCGAACCCCTGCCAACCCAAAGGGTCCCCCTTTGGTACTTTTTAAGAAATCCATTTTTGGCCGACCGACCCTAAAATTTTTCTAAAGGCGCCTTGAGCGCCAATATATACTAGTTTTGAGGGGGAGCGCGCGCCAAAAAAACGCGTTTTTTTGTCAAAATTTTCCCAAAAAGTGCCCAAAAACGGATTTTTTGACCTGTTTTTTCAAAAATTGCCTCGGAAAATCAATCTTATCGGCCTAAAAAAAAGGTCAAAATTTTCGAAAATTTTTTGAAAAGCCGCCCCCCCCCCCTCGAGAAAATCCTAGATCCGCCCCTGATCATGATGAATACCTTTCTGTTGTAAAGTCATACATTTCCACAATAAATGAAAAACTCTGTATTAATCTCTTTCATACAAAAAGACTAATAACTCACATGGTGCTTGGGCCCATACAGCCACAACAGCTGCTGGCAATTCAATTTTTCTGCTTTCTTTTGAATTCCAATCGTTGCTCCGTAGTTTCTATAAAAATCTTCATTTTACAACCAGGACCAAAAATTACACTGGCAGAAAAAACACCTGATACAATGGTACACACAAAAAATTAAGCTTATCGTCTATAAATGTCATTTACCGACAAATTTTCTGCGACATGACTGATCAAAATTTTTGCAAAAAAAGATGTATTTTTGCGGTTTACATGAGATCTCTGTAAATCTACGAAACTTTCAAGATTTCTGAACAATTCAGCAACAATTGTAAACAGATTTGCGACTTACCCTCCCAGTTTGTATTTGCCAGTGCCCCCTTCCCACGCCCTGACATATTGGGTGTCTGCCAGAAGCCTCACAGGTTGGAATGTGCCCGTTTTGAAGTAGGGACCCACTGGACTGAGTAACACAAACAGCATTGCCCGGTGAGGAGGCGACACACCGAGAGTTGGCTGAAACAAACTCAACTTTCTAATTAATGACTTGTTTGTCATCATAGTTAGAACTGCATCATTGAGAAACACCTCGTCCACATTATGGAATCTATTGTTCCCCCTTATGCAATTCGGAAGCCCCCCCCCCCCCGTTTGCAATTCGGAAGCAGAGGATTTCGCTGCTATTTCTAGAAGTTCGAGAAATGAGGGCGGGGGGGGAGTAGGCGTGAAAACATGTGTTCCGTGTGATACGGGTTTTCCGATTATAATTCCTAGAAGCATCTTCGGAGCCTTCAAAGTATTAAATTAATCGTGAGCCAAGGTTAAAAAGAAAGCAACACAGAGCCAACCCAACATGAAGAAATAAATCTGCTTAAATTAAAATTTATAACTGAAAAAATTGGATTGTACCTGAGTGGAAATGTATGTGGGCCTCATGTAGAGAGAGGCTCTTCTGGAGTGGGGCACCCAGTCCTGATCCAAACTCACCAACTCACTGATGCACGCCAGGAACTCATCACTGTCCACGAACTAACAAACACACTGTTGATCAATTGAATGAGTAACGAGCCAGAATTAACAGAAGGGTTTATGAGCGTTACCATGTACAAAAAAAATAAGTTAGTCGGTTGATGATTTGTGTTTCAAATTTGCAATTTCGCATGGCATGTACGACTTGAAACTAACTGGTAGTGCAATTCGTGAGGCAGACTGGTTCAGTCGGGCGATGTTCTTCTTGGGTCTGAACAAATTCACCTTCCCAGTTCGCATTGACCTGTAGGCCTTCATGCCCTCAAACAACTGAAACAAATTCCATCTTGTTAAACTGAAACAAACTCCATCTTTTTAATTAAACAGAACACAGAATTTTTTTGTAATTTGATATGTAATAATAATAATCAAAGTTTACAGGCAGTGTAGAAACTGAAAAATTACAAAGATTTGACAAAAACAATAACTTTCAGATAACTTAAAAGGATTTCCATGATAGTTTTCCCTACGACACTTGGCTAAAGTCCTTCTTAAATTGGTTCAAAAAAAAAGAATTTTTTTTGATACGGAGTAAATTTTTATGTAATTCTAAAACACAGCATTGTAATTTTTAATTTAATTTTACGCACAACTTTGCAACAATGTGTGATTAATCAAGAATATTCAATTGAGCAGTGATATCAGTTAGAATTCAGCGCTTGATTTCAATGCATGGCATTTAATAAGCGCATTTTGAAACCTTACCAAGTTGACCACGCTAAAACACTCTTACAGCTGTAGCATATCAGATCGCTGCAAGCTTGGGGCAGATTTAGGAGCTTCGCGAGCGAAGAGGGACTTCCAAAGAAATTTGGAAAACCAATTTGGTCAACCTTCAAAAAATTCAAAATGCATTTTCAGGGCGCGCTTCCACCCCCTCAAAATTATTAAGCATTAACGCCAAAGCTTCATTTAATACTACTACATCTAATTGTTGTCTATTCGTTTAAAATTATAATTTTATTAATTATAATTTTTCATTTCATTTAATTCCATTAATAATTGAGTTCGCCTGACCTGTAACCCATAATGGAGAGAACTGACAGCGGGATGCAACGATAGATTCCCGAACGGTTTGATATGGGGAGCGTGGAAGCCCCTCTTCGAATCCCACTCTATCGTCAACATGTGGTCTGTGAACACTGAGCCGAATACGATGTCCTCGTACGACTCTGGCTTCGCTTTTGGTTTAGTGTTCAGGTCGAATTTCATTTTTGAAGCAGATAAAGATGCAGCATTTCGCAGTTGAGTCGACCCACCGCTGAAGCCGAACTGAAAGAAAACTATTCTAAATGTTCTCTCAAACTATCCTTAACGAGATCATCTAAGATACTTAGCTTCAATATATTCACTTTTCTATTATTCTGTCTTCGTAAATCTCATTCGGTCTTCATAAGGTTTCATTAATGCACCGCAAGTGGTCATGCGATATAACTTGCAATAAAAATTATTACTGATATCATGTTATACTTACTGCAATTAATTTGGCAGATGTAAACACTTTAGACATTGCACTTAAACTGTGACACATAAAACCTGAAAACGAGAAATTTTATTTATGACCCACAAGTGATTCCCTCATTTAATTCGACCCCCTGCCGACCCAAAGCCCCCCCCCCCCTTTGTACTATTTTGAAATAGCCATTTTTGGCTGACTGATGGTAAAATTTTTCTAATGGCGCCTAAGGCCTTTTTTGGCCTTAGGCGCAGAAAATTTGCTCAAATTAGGGTCTTTAAAGTGATTTGGGAGAGCTCAGAAAATCAATTTGGTCGACCTAAAAAAAAGGTAGACAAAATTTTCATTTTTTTTTTGAAAATCCGCCCCCCCCCCCTCGATAAATTCCTCGATCCGCGCCTGCGCAAGAGTATCTATGTTCTCAAAATGGCAATATAAAATCTATATCTATGTTCTCAAAATCATACATAAGCTGGCATGAGCAGACATGGAATATTTAAAAAAATCGAGACGATTATCTAAGATGCTTGAATTTCCCATAATGACACAATTTTATCATAAAAACTGCAAGTCATGAATTTATTTGGGTCTTTTCGTGACCAATCAAAACCATATCCCAGTAACTCAGTTTCTTCTGGATTGCTAAATTTTTCACCAACTTCGGATAGATTTTCTATCAACTTATAGCCTTCATACATTGCGGCAACGCCTACTAATTGCGGATCTTCAGGGTTAAATTTTATCCGCCATGGTCCACCCTTAATCTCTAAAGTTTTCAATGTTCTCCATTCACAGTTTGTATTATGTAACAAGGATTGGTTTAAGTCTGGGAGAAATCGCATGTCAAAAACGTGTATTTTGTCGTCATAACAACCAGTCAATACATAGTTTTCTAATCGTTTATCGGTCTGCACGCAACAAACACCAGCAGTATGTGGAAACTTCGCAAGTTTTTTGTGTGTTCTCGTATCCCAAGCGTTCAAAAAACAATCGTCAGCACCGGAGAAAACAATACGCGAATCATGTTGTGAAAAGACGCAGGTCCAAATCTCACTCTCGTGCTTTCCACTCACTTCACTTAACCCTGACTCAATATCCGTTAAATACAATTGACCTTTATCAGTCGATGAAATTATTTTGCCATCACTGAAATCCAGCGACAAAATAATTTCAATAGATTCACTGACAATCAAGGAGCTTGTCTCTCTGTAAGTCAAATTAATGGTACCAGAAATCGATTCGTTAACTTCACTTGTTTCGTAAACTCGAAGACAACTATCACTACAAGCGCAAATGAATTTTTCACTGTTACACCATTTAATATCCAAAACTCCAAAATCTGCGCTACTGTTCAAGACAGCACAATTATTATCAACTTTGGGAATATTAACAAAACGGTTGTCATCAATCTGAAAAAGCGAAACTCCTCCAATTCGTTTATTTGTCAATGAATCGAATTCGTAACAACCACAAACTGCGAGTTCGGGCGCAGACTGAATTGATCTAGGTGCAAATTCGACAGTGTCAGCGTTATTTTTCAGTTTAAAGGTGTCATGGAGGTTAGGCTTTAGTTGCATTATCTGAAATAATGCAACCTAATAATTACTGCAATTGAAGCCTTTAATTTGTGGATGACAGAAATTTTAACTCAATTAAATATTTTGTTACTAACTGCACTTGGGGACAAAAATCTTTGGTACTCTTCCATATGGAAAAATCATAAATGCTATTGCAAAAATAAATCTTACCATTCTTTTTGTTATAGAAGAATACTAGATAAAAAGTATTTTTTTCAATCTTTATTTTTATTTTCTTATATTTTACGCAGCGAGAATATTGCTTTGTATAGAGCGACTCGCTATCCTTGATCCATAGTTTGTGATTTTTTAAGTTGTCATCAAAATTCAATGTTAGCACAGCTCAGATCCGGTTACTCCCCCTTTTTAAATACCTATCTCAATAGAATAGACCCCAATGTCCCCCAAACTGTTCCCACTGTCCGTCTTCCCATACTACCCTTCACCTTTTTAACCGCCCCACAAACCCGACTGAACTGACCCCAATAAAACTGTGGCTACGGACTACCGAAGTAAAAATGATCTTTAGACTCGGGCCAAGTTCGCATGAGGCGCTCCCTATGGGCAACTAACAACTAGGCTTAAAAACAAACTAGCGACTGAACATAAAAGATGCGACCAAATCTTCTGACAAACAATATGTAAAATAGGGAGATAAAAAAGACAATAGAACATAAAGCAGGATCATCTGAATTTCAAAGAACTTTTTGGAACAGACAATGAATTAAATTTAAGCATGGTCAGAACACTTTGAGATCCTTTGAGCAACCGGTTGTACCTCTTCAATGTGATTTATTTGGTTCAAGATTGTTCCCGACCATGAAAAATTCTTTCACAGAAACTATTTTAAGCTTTTATAACTCAAAAAGGATCTTGAGATCAAGAGCACTGTCATATTAAGATCCTTTTAGACGTGATTTGAAATCCGCAATCATAAGCAACAGAAACTCGTTCGAAGATTTTGTTCCGAGTTTGTTTCACTTTCATTTCCAAGCAAAATCAGGCATCGCAAATAATCATCCCAATTGTTTCGAACAATTATGCAATTCCAAAAAACTTTCTGTGTCGTCAAAACTGATTTAATTTTATACGTTTTAGGCTCAATCGAGTGAGTGAAGCGAGCAAGTAGACAGCGCAAAGCTCAAAATAAGACGAAAAATGAAGGTTAAGATTAAATAAGCAGTTTTTGGAGCTTTAATTAGCACTTTTCGAACACGGTAAAATAGCTCAACATTTTTTTTAACAATAGATTTTTTCTAAAATAATCATAGTATTCGATTTAGGAATGATTTGCTACAATAACTCTAGTTTCTGAAGCCAGATAAAACTTTTCCGGGTAAAGTTTAATCTATATTCTCCGGTAAAAAAAAAAAACAAATACTCGAATACGAAGTTTCTCCACATTTTTCAAATGATCGGAATAAAAACACACCCCAATGCAAAGTCCTCCACATGTTTCAAATTGGTGGGTTTTTGTAATTTTTGAATTGAACTTAAATGCTAATTAGGATAGCCGGTTCCTGTGCTAGTAAGCACATGGTTCCGACTGCAGTAAAGAAAGATTTTTTTGTTGGAAATTGTGTTCTTCTGAAGTGTAGGGAGATTTTCCGCTCGAAATCAGGTTTCAAAAATAACCATCGGAATGAGTCGAGTTATATATCATATTTAAGCCCTTTCAGTCGTGACTAAACGACAGTTAACATTTTTGAAAATAATTTTTCAGTGCCGAGAAAACCCTTTTGAAAATTTTAATTTTTGCTCTAAATTCGAGCTAATAAGTTTTACCAAATAAAAGTTAGCATGCTTACTATATTGGCGACGTAGATTGGAAAAAAAAGAGTTCATACTAGAACACAATCTTTGCTTGTGTAATCATTTTACTGCTGTTTGAAACGAATAATTTGATGAATTGAAAATGCATCAGCTGTGTTGACTTTTTACTAATCAAATGTCAAAGCACATATGATATTATACTGCTACCGCAGCCTAGCAATTCAAAAGTGCCACCAAAAGCATCACTTTTGTTTGCAACTTAACCTGGAAAAAAAATAAAAGTCGTACTAATACACTTTGCTGGCAAGTGTAAAAATGATTAGTGCAGTCGCGTCAGCAAGTTGCGAGCTTGGCAACAGGGGGTAGCTCTGTAGGAAAATTAGAGCCAGTTATCGCCCCGAATTGAATATGTGCGCGTAGCATGCAATTGGGCAATTTGAAAACTAGGCAGTCGGCTTGGTAGTCTTTGATAAATTGAACAATTTTTGGTAGAAAGTGACCTTTCTATTTATTGTTCCAAACATTTCAAAAATGGGGAGGAACTTTTTATTCGAGTCTTTTAATTTTTTTCTAGCAAAACCAGGGACCACAAATAATCATTGGAATGTGTCGAGTGATATATCATATTAATATTTTTTCAATCGAAATTCAAACTTTCAAAAAGTTGTCCCATTGTCGAGGAAAACCGGTTTGAATGTTTTGATTTTTCGTCTTAATTCGAGCGAAAAAAGCCAGCGAACAAGCTTGCAATAGCTTATTTTGATGGCTTAAAAGCTTACGAAACTTAATTTAAGCCGTAAAATTTAGCTTCACTCGAGTGCAGTTATTTTAGTTTAGTGTTTCACCATTTGTGAAAAATTAAAAAAATTCAAATAACTGCAAAAAATTGAAATTTTTTTGTTATTCCAGTCATTGTTCTTTGAAAATTGTTTTACAATTTGCGTATTTAACTATGACTGTCGCATATGCCTGACCTCTAGTTTTTAGTTCAGATCCTTTCGTCACACCACGCTGAAAAAAAAAGACAATTTGAAAAAAAAAACTTGTTTTTTTTTAGACTACGGTCGGAACAGTCTGTGCTACTTGCACAGTAATCGGCTTCCCTTGTTTCATGTTTTCTGTTTTTAGAAAAACATAACCCTGTTCACTGGAGAAAGTGTTGTCATAACTCCCTGCTTTCATAGAGCTTGACTGATTTTTACATAACTCCTTCATTTAAAAAAAACTGGAGTACGGAAACACTAAATTTATCAATTTACAAGAACGGAAACATTGATTCCGATTCCACTCAAACATGTTTAAAATACATTCAGCTCATAATTATCCACATCTTTAGCCTCATACACTTATTTCTTCGCAGAAGGCTTAGCAATCTCTAAGTCGAAAAACAAATAATTCAGATCAGGTCAAACTATTTCTTCCCAGATGAGGAAGACTTATCCTTTTCTTTCTCCTTTTCTTTGTCTTTGTCACCTTTGCTCGTTTCGTCTTTTTTGTCTCCACTCGATTTGTCTTTATCCTCTTTTGACTTTTTGTCCTCTTTTTTATTCTCCTCTAATTGTCTGTTGTGAATTTTGTTATTCAGAAGGTTGTGAAGAGCAACTATAGTTCTGATAACAGTTCCCAAATAGACTACTGCCATTTCGTCATTTGTCTGTACTTCGTAGCTCTTCACAAATTCGCCAAAGTTCACGTCTGGTAGGAGGTTCAACACATTTTGCAGCTCGTACACAATTTGATGGTGAGTAGGTATTTCTCCTGAAATAAAAAACTACATATGCGCTTCAAAAACGAGACAAATCAAGGAGGAATTTGTTTGTTCAATGCATGAATCTGATTGCAGACCTGCAAACATTATCAAACGTATTGTAATTTAATTTAAATCCATCAAAAGTATACAAATGAGGTACAAATGAGGAATATAGAAAAAATCATATTAGAAACCCAAGGAAGATCTACTTTGCATTAAATATCAATAAATAAACGCGATAGCTCGTTGAAAAAAAAATGAAAATAGTTTCAGCGTGATTGCTTACAATTAACTTGATTTGGGACCCCTTAATCTTGGCTTTTATTTAGTCTTGGTTTGGACTTGATTTCTACTGGTACCCCTCTATCACACTAGACAATTCGATCATAATTCTCTGTACAGGTGTGATCGAGGTGTCCCAAATCACGTTAATTCTAAGCAATCACGCTGAAAGTATTGTCAAATTTTTGACGAGCTATCGCGTTCAGATCAACGTAGTGCCGCCTTTTCTGTTATACAGCCTAAATCTGATATTTTCATATATTGAAAATTGGATCAAAATGCTCGATACAAGTGTGATAGAGGGGTCCCAGTAAAATAACCAATAGATCTCTTTTATTTCCCGTCTTTGGTACCTAGTAACGAATCGCCACCCCTATAATGAAGCAATCAACCTTGCGTGAGTGAGGCAGGTTAATTGGCTCTTTTATATCCCCCGACATTTGAATTTCAGGTTTTAAAATCAAGTTTTAAAAACCATTTTAACGTTGTTTTAGAGCAGAAAACACCAACAACTGTGGTCCCGGTAAAAACCTAATGTGATAGAGGGGTCCCAACTTACATTATTTTAAGCAATTACGGCATGTAACTTAATTCAAAATGCGCCGGTCGGTCATTGTCGAACTTTTCTCCATGTAAATATACCTGCCTCACTCGCGCAAACTTATTCGATACTTCAATTGGCATCATCAAAGCACTAAATTGAACAATTTTGAACGGTGTCGGACAACAGGCCGACGGGACTTCAAACCGAACAAAAAATATGCCAGGAAGCTTTGGAGAATGAATAATCCATATTTTAAAACAGTTTTATTTATTACTTCGTATCTAAATATGGATTTTTTTACCGAAGCAAAAAAAGGGGGCTATGTTTACTTATAAACAGATTTCTGTTCAGAAGAAATATAACAATTGTAAATTTTATTTCCTTCAAATGATGTGAAATCAACTGTCCATCTCGTGTTACAATGACTGGAGATTTAAAATCGGTTAACAAACCTGGAGAACACAATCACCTCCCCCAGATGAAAAAATTCAACAAAAAATTCGAAAAACAGCGTCAAACAAAAATGTTAGATTTTTTGAATATATTCTGGACCCAGCAAATCATTCGAACTAGCGTGTAACGCACCTCCGATGCTTCAAACAGAATATTTAACATGAAAACTGCTTATATCTAAAATAAATGAAAAAAAAACAACGAAAAGAATGCAAACCGTAAAAAGACACGGGCACATCC